AGCTCTGTCCTTGTAGCAGGAAAGCAGCCACAGGACGCAGGGAGATGAACAGGCATGGCCGTGTGCCAATAAAACTTTATTTATGGACACTGAAATTGAATTCTGTGCAATTTTCATGTCATAAAATATTCTTCTCTTGATCTTTTTTCAACCATTTAAAAATGTAAAATCCCATTCTGAGCTTGCGAGCCTTGCAGAAACCCACGTTGGGACTGGATTGGGCCCGAGGGCTGGAGTTTGCAGACTGGTTTAGGTGATTCTCTTTGCTCAGGGATCTGGAGCTTGTAGGGGAGCGGTTTCCAGGCCTGGGGACCCACTGCTGCATCGGCATCCTTGGGGGTCAGTGTGAGTGGGTATGTCCCTGTGTCTGTCCAGTCTCTGTGGGGTCCTGATCTCCTCCCCCACCGGCCCCCAGCCGTCCTGCAGGGTGAGTACCTGGGACAGAAGGTGGCCGTGAAGAACATCAAGTGTGACGTGACAGCCCAGGCCTTCCTGGACGAGACGGCGGTCATGACGTGAGTCCTGGTGAGGGGAGGGCATGCTGGGGTGGGGGTCCAAGCCACCTTCACCCCACACCCGCCTGCCCCCAGGAAGATGCAGCATAAGAACCTGGTGCGTCTGCTGGGTGTGATCCTGCACCAGGGCCTCTACATCGTCATGGAGCACGTGAGCAAGGTGGGGGCAGGGCCTGAGGGTCGGGCGGGGTGCGGCGGCCGAGCAGCCTCCAGCAGCCCTCACCCCACCCGTGTCTCCCACACAGGGTAACCTGGTGAATTTTCTACGAACGCGGGGCCGGGCCCTTGTGAACACCCCCCAGCTCCTGCAGTTTTCCCTGTGAGTAGGGCTCCCGGGGGCAGGGAGACCGAGGCACGGAGCAGGGAGGAGCCTGGCCTTGGGAGTCTGTGGTCCAGGCACCCGAGCCCCGTGCCCGCCACCCCTCCACTCCAGGCACGTGGCTGAGGGCATGGAATACCTGGAGAGCAAGAAGCTGGTGCACCGAGACCTGGCTGCCCGGAACATCCTCGTGTCCGAGGACCTGGTGGCCAAGGTCAGCGACTTTGGCCTGGCCAAAGCCGAGCGGAAGGGGCTGGACTCCAGCCGGCTTCCAGTCAAGTGGACGGCACCCGAGGCTCTCAAACACGGGGTGAGCCCCCCTTACCCCCCAGGGCCCTTGGAACCCTAGCTCCCCTGTGCGACCCTGGGCCTGTCTCTTGCCTCTCTGAACCTCCAAGGGACTGGCTCCGCCTCTCTGGTAAGCCCTTGGCCCATAATTGTTCCTTTTAGCCCCAGTCTGGGCCTTGGTCTCCTCATTTCTGAAACAGTCTTGGGCTCAGCAAGTGAGAGCAAGAATAACCTCGTTCTTGCACTGAGTCTGGGTTGGGGGGTGGGGCGGATTCAGAGGCAGGAGCCTATTGGGAGGAGACCTGGGACTAAAGGTCAACCCAGGGGGACTTCCTGGAGGAAGCAGGGGCTGGGGCAGAAGCCCTGAGGGGTCCCTCTCCCCCTGATCTCCGGCCCCACAGAAGTTCTCCAGCAAGTCGGACGTCTGGAGTTTCGGGGTGCTGCTGTGGGAGGTCTTCTCATACGGCCGGGCTCCATACCCCAAGATGGTGAGCAGGGGCGGGGGGGCGGCACTGGGTCCCCCGCAGGTCTAGGGGTCGTGATCCTGACCCCCAGCCCGCACCGGCGTGCCCTCTGCCCATAGTCGCTGAAGGAGGTGTCAGAGGCCGTGGAGAAGGGGTACCGCATGGAGCCCCCCGAGGGCTGCCCGGGTCCCATCCACGCCCTCATGGGCAGCTGCTGGGAGGCTGAGCCCGCTCGCCGGCCGCCCTTCCGCAAACTGGCTGAGAAGCTGGCCCGGGAGCTGCGCAGCGTGGGCGCCTCGGCCCCCAACGGGGGGCAGGATGCAGATGGTCCCACCTTGCCCCGCAGCCAGGAGCCCTGACCCTGCCCGCGGGGCCTCAGGCCCCAGAGAACTGAGACAGTGGGGGGCACAGGGTGGGGACTCGGGCCAGGCCTGAGGAGCGGCAGGGCCAGCGAGCTGCCCGCCCGGCTCACATCACAGGGGCAGGCTGCGTCGGGGTTGGGGGGGGGCTCTGGGCAGCCCGTGGGCACCACGGCCCCAGGGAAGTGAAGGATTAGCGCCTGGATAAAGACTGGTTCCAAGGACTGGGTGTCTGAGTCTCTCTCTGCTACCACTCTGGGGACCCCATCACTTACTGGGGGTGATCTGCCTGCCCAGTTGTCTGCCCACTGAGGGGTTCACCAGGCTAGGACCTTGCAGCCCAGAGGGGCATATATTTCCCCTGGGATGGGGCCAGGAGACCCCCAGGCCAGGGATCACAGCCACCCGTAGAGCCACTTGCCATCACCCACGGGTCCGCCACCTCCTTTGGTGGCAAAGACCCCACCGTAGCCCTCAGGGTCCCAGGTGCAAAGGACAGTGGGAGAGTGCCAGCGGCTGCGGACATCCGAGTCCCCTGTCCTGGCATCCTCTTTTCCTCAGCCTTGCCCCTCGTCCCCTCCTGGGGTGCTCCAGTGTGGCTACATCCCCCACCTGTCATGACCTAACAGCCTCACCCGGTGACTCCAGGGAACACTCGCTGAAAAAAAGCCAGCCGCACGGCCTGTCCCAAGGCCCTGCCCCTCCCGTCCACTCTCGAGCGGGGGCTGGGGCTCCGGGCTTGCACCCCCAGCTTCAAATCCTGACTCGACCCGTAGCTGTGTGGCCCGGGCTTGCCGTGAGCCACTGCGTCAAACTGAGGGCATGTCTGGGATGGGGGGTGTTAGTGCTAAACTCGGGGTGTCCTGGGCAAACTAGAGAGGTGGCCCTCCTCCATGGGCCCCCAAAGCCTCCTCTATGATCAGGCATCTCTTCCGGGGGAGACATGAGGACCCTGAGGGCTCACACCAGTGAAGGACTGAGCACACAGCTAGTGCTCAGCTATTACCTGTGACTGTCAGCCACCCTCTCTCTGATGACGCTCCCAGACAGCCAGCCTCTAGGTTGCCTGGAGAGGGGGTTTCTGGCCAGCTCGGTGTGGGCCCCTCCCCAGGACCGCCTGAGCTGGTGAGGGGACACCAGACCACAGCACGGCCTCCCACCTTGACTGCCCCACCCCTGCCTGAGCGGAGCCTGAGAAATGTCTCAAGGTCACGCTGACCTCCTGCAGTTCCCCCCCTCCCCGCCCTGAGCCCTGCCCACCCTCTGGCCTCAGTTTCCCCACCAGCACCTGAAGGGGTTTAGCGATTCTTCCTGGGGGAGAAATGAAGGGTGGGAGGCTGGAGGGGCTGAGAGTGGCCTGGCCCCCGCCTAATCCAGATGGAAGGTGGCCCCGCACTGCCCTGGCCTGCCCCTAATCCGGTGCTCTAAGCTGACACAGCGTCTGGACCTTCAGCCGCATCCTGCTAAATCGCCAAAGCCCCCTGGGCCTAACACCCAAATCCCTCCTGCGCCTCTTAACCCACCCGGAGCCAATTAGCTAAATGGGGCCTGTGAACAGAGCAGCTCTTTAGCGTTTCCAAGTGATGAAGCGTTAGGGGAATTACCTGCCCCCACTCCACAGAGCCCCAGCCCACCGTACAGGCGGGGCAGCTGAGGCCTGGAGGGGCCCCAGGAGCCTGGGCTCAGGGCTTCTGGGGCCTCCCTGCCTGGCCAACCCCTTGGGTATCAAGCCCCCTGCCCACCGGGCCGTCCCTCCTCGTCCAAGGCTGCTCGCCCCTGCCCCCGACTTCTCCAGGGCCTGCAACCCTTTGCTGCATGTGAGTGTCTGAGCGTGTGCACTCATGCCGCGTGTGAGTGCCTGTCTCCACCTCTTTCTCTTTCTCTTTCTCTGTGTGTGCCTTTCCCCTACAAAGCCAACATTCCCTACATTCCCTTATCTATACAAAGCCAGCAGAAATGAGGTAAGGACTTATCTCTGCTTCCTCTGCACTCACTCCCTAGTCCATCCACGGGCCTGGGTCTCCCGCCTGGCTCCGCCGCTGGGTCAAACTCCCTCTGTCCTCCTCCTGGGTCTCATCCTGCCCCTCTCAACCCCAGTGCCCCTCCTCACTGTTTTCAGGGCACACCCCCCCCCCCCCGCCTGAGCCCCCAGGCTCCTTGGACTGGGGAGGGGGTTGGCAAACCAGTCTCAGGGGCTTCCCAAGATCCTGCTCCGGCTCTCAGGCCACCGCCTGAGAGACAGTCCCATCATCCACCTGTCCCAAAAACAGGGTCCGGGTATACCGGTCCTCTTCCCTCCTCCTCAGACTTTCTCCCCCGAGATTTCTCTCCTGCCTCTCCCCCAGCCTTGCTCTAACCAGGCCTCTAGCATCCTCCTGGCCTCCCACCTTGCACACAATAGCTACTCATCCAAAATGCCATCTGTGCCCCTCCCATGCCCCACAACCTCCCATGGCTCCCCAGTACCCACCCCTTCACAGCCAGTCTTGTCCAGAATTTACAGCCTTGTACTCCATCTCCCACTCTGATCACCTTCATTGAAAGAGCAACCTTCCCTCCCCTGCTTGAGTTTTCTCACCAGGCTTCTGACCACCTGACATGCTATATTTTACTTATATAGTTACAGATTATCTGTCTGTCTATCTCCTCCACTAGGATGCCAGTTCCAAGATTTGTGTCTGTTTTGTTCACTGCTGTGAACAGTACCTGGTATACAGTAAGCTCAATAAGTGTTTACTGAGTGACTGAAAAGTGAACTTCTATTCATACCTCAAAACCCAGCTAAAATGCCCCATACTCCTTTGCCCTGCACAGCGGCCAGGGGGCCAACTGGAATTGCCTTCACCTCTGGGGACCTCAGCTTCCCCAACCCCCGTTGACATCTGTGAGTCTGAGAGGTTCTTTTTCTCACACCAGATGATAAAAAAAAAAAAAGCCGTAACAGTGGACATTCATTAAGCACTCGCTGTATGCCAGTCACTGTGCGACGCTCTTTCCTTTCATCAGCTCATTGAGTCCCTGTGAGAGCCCCATGGGGTAAGTCCTGTTGTCGCCGTCTTACAGCTAGGGAAACTGAGGCCCAGAGAGGGGGAGGCTCTTGTTTATATCCTACAGCGAGGGGTGGCAGACCCAGGCTAATGGTGTCCCTCCAACCCCTGGAACCCAGCCCTCCCTCTGTGGCTCAGAGCAACCAGCACCTGGGCGGGAGGGGCCCCCTCAATTAATCACCTCGCTAATCCTCCTTCCACCCAACCCCAGCCCCCTCGAGTCTGGCTGGGCCAGGCCAGCAGCAGACGGAGCTGGGCCGGCAGGGGCTGTCAGAGGGCCCGCTGGGAGCTGGGAGCACTGGGCAGGTGGGCACAGGTGGGCCTGGGTGGGAGCTGGGGGCAAAGAGAGCCCCCTAGGGCAGAAGACTGGGGGGTAAGGAAGTGTTCCTTAAGGCAGTGTCCCAGCTTCTGCCTTCCTGGGGGTCCTAGACACAGAGACAGAGAGATAAAGGGAGACACAGGCAGTCAGGGAGAGCTCCAGAGGGAAAGAGAAATAGAGGCAGCGGGGGGCGGGGGGGGGCGGACAGAGACACAGAGAAAAATGATCAGAGAGAAGGAAGTGGAGACAGAGTCAGGTGATCCGACATGGACAGAGAGGCTGGGGAGGCAGAAGGGATGCAGGACCCAGTGGAGGGAGAAGCCCCTCCATATCTTACCCCAGACCCAGCAGGGGCCGGGGGCTCCTCCGCCCTCCCCAACCTCAGTCCCTACCATGTCTCATCCGCGCCGTCTGTCCTGCCGCCGCCCCGCCAGGTGAGGGCGAGGAGCAGCCATGTTCCTGAGCCCGGGCGAGGGGCCCGCTGAGGGTGGGCGGCCAGGGCCTGGCGAAGAGGCCCCCAAGAAGAAGCACCGGAGGAACCGCACGACCTTCACCACGTACCAGCTGCACCAGCTGGAGCGGGCGTTCGAGACCTCCCACTACCCGGACGTCTACAGCCGCGAGGAGCTGGCCGCCAAGGTGCACCTGCCCGAGGTGCGCGTGCAGGTGAGGGGACCCCCTAACAACCCGAGGAGGGAGCCAGTGCCAGGTATGAACCCTCCCAGTGCATGGGAAGGCTTCCTGGAGGAGGGGACGTGGGACTGGGGCCTTGATGTTTGAATAAGAATTTGCCATCTAGAAAGGAGAAAGGGCATTTTTCTAGCCCTCCAGAGCAATGTGTGCAAAGGGGTGAAATAGGAGGCATTTCCACAGAGCTGGGTGTTGAGGCAGGCGGAAGCGGAGGCAGAGAAGGAGCTTGGGAAGGGCCTCAAATGCCGAGCTCAGTGGCTGGAACTTCATGCCAAGGGCCAAGAGAGACCAGGAGGGAGGCCAGGGAGCCTGAGGGGCCCTGGACAAAGGGAAAGGCAAGGAGAGCCTGGATTCAGAAGACTTTGGGGCTGATTTGATGGGGGCCAAGAGGCAGAGATCCTGCTCTCAAAACAGCCATCTCCTTGGGGTAGGTAACACCATATGTTGGCACTGCAACAGGTGGGGGTCAGGTTAGACAGCAGGCAGAACCCGGAGAGGCTGGGAGGCCCAGAGCAGGAAAGAGTGGCCTCGCCTCACCCCACCAGCCCTGACCCAGGAGCACCTCTCTTGCTGCTTCCAGGTGTGGTTCCAGAACCGCCGGGCTAAGTGGCGCCGCCAGGAGCGTCTGGAGTCAGGCTCCGGGGCCGTGGCAGCCCCGAGGCTCCCCGAGGCCCCAGCACTGCCCTTTGCCCGCCCCCCCGCCATGCCACTGCCCCTGGAGCCCTGGCTGGGCCCTGGGCCCCCAGCCGTGCCGGGACTCCCGCGCCTCCTGGGCCCGGGTCCGGGGCTGCAGGGGTCCTTCGGGCCCCACACCTTTGGTCCAGGCTTCACGGACGGTTTCACCCTGGAGGAGGCGTCCTTGCGGCTGCTGGCCAAGGAGCACGTGCAGGCTCTGGACAGGGCCTGGCCATCGGCCTGAACCTGGTGCCTGCCCAGCCCTCCCTCCTCAGCCTGTCTGTGGCCACCCATGCCGGGTCCCCCACCCCACCCCCACCTCCTTACCCTGCCTTGCAGGGTAACTGGCACCCGGTTTCAAGAAGGAGGTGGCCAGAGGATCCCCGGCCAGGGGGATGGGTCTCTGGCCTGGTCTCAAGGGAGTCTGTGCCCTCGTGGGGCCTCAGTCTCCCCATCTGTCAAGTGGGCGTGGGTGGGCTGGATTCTGAGGTTCTTAGACTGCAATCAGGAGCCACTGGGGTGTGAACTCTGAGTTGATGAGTCTAAATCCCTCCGTCTGCTGCCCTCTCTCTAAGAAATAACAAGTAACAGCAGTAGCAACTCATGTTCAACCCACCCCCTTTCACTGTGTGCTCCCCATGTGCCCATTGCTTTACCCCACGAGGTGGGCGTGGCCACCAGCCTCATCTTTCAGGGGAGGAAACTGAGGCCCAGAGAGGGGAAGCCAGTTTCTTGAGGCCACACAGCCAGTAGGGGGCGGAGCTCTTTTTAAACTCATTGCCTGACTCCATCACCCCAGGCCCCATGCCGCACCCAGGCTGGGCGCTAACAGGGGACTCTCTGCTGAGGCTGGGCAAATACTGTCTGTCCCTGCTCCTCCCAGTTACCACGGTGTGGCTTATGTCCCCACTGGCCACAGCCCCCATCGTGTCTCCCAGCCCACTGTGTGGGTGGGTGGGGGGGTCGGGGCCCTGGTGACAAGGCCAGCATTTGTTCTGTCCAACCCATGTCTCCCACGTGGCAGTCCTCACCTCCCTTCAGCCAGGGGATACAGGGCAGGACCCGCCCAAGACTGTCCAGGTCTGGACTGGGTTGAGAACCGGCTCCTGACCCTCACCCAAGTCTCTCTTGAAGAGTCTCAGAACAACCACCACGTCTGGAAGGGGTTCCGTGTGTGTATATATATAGTAACAGCTTTACTGAGGTAAGATTTCCATAAAGTTAATTACACGTGCTTAAAGCATACCACTTGGTAAGCCTTGACGTCTGTGTACACTCCTGGAAGCCTCGCCACGGTCACGTGATGTGCGCACCCCTTCAGCTGCTGCGTGCCTCCCCAGTCCTCTCCCACCCCGCCCGCCCCTCCCCACACGACCATTCGTCTGCTTCTGTCACTGGACATTCACTTGAGTTTCCTAAGGATTTATAGAAAGGAAACCACACAGGATGTCATCTTTACTAGGTTTTGTCTGGTTTCTTATGCCGAGGACAATTATTTTGAGAGGCGTCCAGGCGGACCCCCTTTTCTTGGTGAGCCCTATTCCGTAGTAGGGGATACACGTCTGTTTATTCACTCCTCTGGTTTGCTCTGGGGTGGGTTCCAGCTTGGGACGATTATGAATTAAACTGCTGTGGACATTTGTGTACATGACCTACACCTTCATCTTCCTTGGGGAAATCCCTGTGTATGGATTTTAGCCGTTCTCAGGTGTGACACGGCATCTCGCTGTGGGTTTACTTTGCTTTTCCCTCTTGACACGTGGTGCTGAGCATCTTTCCATGCGCTCGTTTGCCATCTGTGCATCTTTGGTGAAATGTCCGAATCTCTTATCCATTTCTATATACTAACAGTAAGCACTTGGAAAAGGAAATATTTACGTGTTTAAGATACCATTTAAAATAGTATCAAAACCATCAAACACCTCGGAATAAGTTGGACAAAAGACGTACAGCTGCTTGACACTGAAACTCAAAATATTGTTGAGGGAAACAAAAGAAAACGTGAGTGAATGAAGGGATATGATATACCCATGGAGTTGGAAGGTTCACAAGATGTCAGATCTTCCCCAAATGGAGCTACAGAGTCAAGGCAATCCCAATTAAAATCCCAACAGACCTTTTTTTTTTTTTTTTTGTAGACCTGACTAAATGATTCTAAAATTTATATTAAAATACAAAGAACCTAGAATAGCCAAGGCAATCTAGAAGAAGAACGATACATTTGGAGGACTTACACTATTAGATATTGAGACTTTTAGAAAGCCGCAGTAATTAAGGGAGTGGGTTTTGGCCCAAGGATGGACAGGCAAGTTGACTGATGGAACCAAAGAAACAGACCCACATGTGAACGGTTGCTTGATTCACACCAAAGGCATCCCTGCACATTGGAGAAGGATTACCTCTCCAGCAAAGGGACCTGTATATGGAAAATACTGAACCTTGACCCCTGCCCCACACCATACACAAACGTTAAATAGATCATCAATCTAAGTGTGAAAGGCAGAACACTAAAGCTTTTAGAAAAAAACTGTAGGGGAATGTCTTCAAGACCTTGGCACTTGGCAAATATATTATAAATGGGAAGTAAGGAATATTATACAACAGCAGAAAGACTGGACTTTGTAAAAGTTAAGAACTTATGTACATCAAAATATACCATTAAGAGAGAGCATAGGCAAACCACAGAGGGGGAGAAGATATTTGAAACATTGACCAGCAAAGGACCCATAGCCTTGACAATTAGAAAAAGGACAGACACACCAATAAGAAAAAGACAACCACTTTTTGGTTTAATGGGCAAAAGACACTTCGGTAAAGACTCAATCCAAAAAGTCACAACCTTATGAAATGGTATTCAATGTCAATTGTCATTAGAGAAATGCAAATTAAAACCACAACAGAATATGCCCTATATGCCCATCAGAAGGTCTAAAATTAGACAGTATTTTGTGCTAATGGAACAATTTACACTTCACAAAACTTCGGCCGCATCCACCCAAGATGTTGTTCTCTTTGTACAACACAAGACTACACGACAAGGACAGACAAGGACCATATACAGAGCTGGGCTGCCAACAGGGAGGAATCTCACCAACGTTGCTAAGTGAATGAAACCAGAACAAAAAGAGGACGTACCGTAAGCTTAGACGTCTGTGAAATTCAAGAACAGGCAAAGACCTCACCTATAGGCTCTTCACAAAGCTAAACATAGAATTCCCATATGAACTAGCAACTCCACATCCAAATATACACTCCAAAGAACGGAAAGTATTTTCCCCCTCAAACAACAAGAAATCTCGAGATGGGCAATTCAGGGCTGCGGGTGCTGGTGCCCCTGTTCTTGGTGGCATTTGTCCTCACGGTTGCAAGGTGGCTTCTGCTCATTCAGCTATTGCAGCTGTATTCCAGAGAGGGGGAAGATGGAAAGACAGAGGCAAAATACACGTGCCAGCTTTGTCTTTTTTTTTTTTTTTAATGTGGAAAACAATTGCTTTCCCAGAAGCACCACCCGTGGGGAACCTGCTAACTCAGCGTTGGCCCCTCAGCTGTGGGGTGTGTCCATGAGGGTGATTAAGTGACAGGGTTGTCCCCAGTATCCACAAGACATAGGGAAGCCTGTTTGCAGTGGGAAGCAGGGTTAGCTCAAGACAAGGAAGGGGAGGGGTTGAGGGATGAGTAACCTCAGCTGTCACCTTCCTGGGCTTCAGTTTCCTCAACTGTCAAATGCGGCTGCAGAAGCTGTCTGGCCCCAGCAGGAAAGTGAAGAGGAAAGTGCTTGGAAATACCCCAGGGAACATTTGCACCTGCTTTCCTTTGCACATGCGTGTTCATGGTCCCCTCCCTCCCTTTCTTCATGCCCCCACTCAGATGTCAAATCCTCAGATAGATCTTCCCAGACATCCCTGGCTACAGGTGCAGCTCTTCTCTCTGTAGGTCCCGTATTCTCCTTTCTATCCCTCCACACACGTATCACCCCTGAACCTATGACATATTCACTCATGCATTTACCTGTATCCTGTGAACCTCCAGCCCCACCTGCCTCACCTCATATGTGGTCTTAGTGTGTTCAGTGCTGCATCCCCCCTGGCACTGAGCCTGTTGTCAATGCGTAGGGGTTACTCAATGAATATTTGCAAAATCAGTGAACTGAGGAGGCAGGCTGCAGTATTGGATGTGTCCAGCAGGTGGCAAAGCCTCACCACAGGTCGCCCTTCTAGGCTCATCCACAAGGTACCTGGATGAAAGTCATCCTACGATGTAGGACAGGTGTCTTGGTCTCCTGGACCAGTGCCAGAGAAATACAACATGGACTATGTGTCAGTCTAAATCTAGTAGCCAAGTGGATGGAAACAGGTGACATCAACGTTAACAATATATTTTATTGAACCCAGCATATCCCAAACATCATTTCAATGTGTCACCACTATAAAAAGCTATTGGGGGCTTCCCTGGTGGTGCAGTGGTTAAGAACCCGCCTGCCAATGCAGGGGACGCGGGTTCAAGCCCTGGTCCAGGAAGATCCCACATGCCGTGGAGCAACTAAGTCCGTGCGCCACAACTACTGAGCCTGCACTCTAGAGCCCATGAGCCACAACTGCTGAGCCCGTGTGCCACAACTACTGAAGCCCGCATGCCTAGAGCCCGTGCTCCACAAGAGAAGCCACTGCAATGAGAAGCCCATGCTCCGCAACGAAGAGTAGCCCCCGCTCACAACTAGAGAAAGCCCGTGTGCAGCAACGAAGACCCAACGCAGCCAAAAATAAATAAATTAAACAAATTAATTAAAAAAAAAAGAGTAGCCCCTGCTCACCGCAACTAGAGAAAGCCCGTGTACCAGCAACAAAGACCTAATGCAACCAAAAATAAATAATAAATAAATAAATAAGTATCATATTAAAAAGCGACTAATGAGATTTTAAAAAATATTTAGTTAGTTAGTTAGTTAGTTGTGCCGGGTCTTAGTTGCAGCAGGTGGGCTCCTTACTTGTGGTAATGAGATATTTTGTATTCTTTTTTGTTCCTGAACAAAGGCCTCAGAATCTGGTATCTATTTTATAACACTCACAGCATAGCTCAGCACGGAATAGCCACATTTTTTTTTTGGCTGCGCTGTGCGTCATGCGGTGATCTTAGTTCCATGACCAGGGATCAAACCCACACCTCCTGCATTAGGAGTGCAGAGTCTTAACCACCAGACTGCCAAGGAAGTCCCTGGAATAGCCACATTTCAAGACTCAACAGGGCCGGCTGTAGTGGACAGCGCATTACTGGAAAAAAAGATGGCAGATGAAACCTCAGGCTTGAAGGCTGTCTCTGCAGATACCGGGTAGAACCACGGCTCGGAGGGAATGCTGCTTTGTCTCTCCCTGTGCCCTGCTTCCCCTGTGTTGTAATGTGGATCTGCCTGTAATGCCTGTGTCTCAAACCCAATGTGTTGAAGAGGTCCCTGATGATATGACCCACTTTGGTGGGTGGTGGGTCCCCCATGGGTGACCTCACCAAGTCACTGAAATGGGCGATAGGGTGAACTTGTCTCATGGATGATGTTGATGAGCACTTAATTTTTTTTTTTCTGGCCGCGCTGCTTGTCTTATGGGATCTTAGTTCCCTGAGCAGGGATCAAACCCTCGCCCCCTGAAGTGGAAGGGCGGAGTCCTAACCACTGGACAGCCAGGGAAGTCCCGATGAGCACTTGAAATAATTAACCCCAGGACCATGGCTCTCTCCATATCCTGTTAAGGGATATAATGAATTTCCTCCTTAAAAGGGTAGTTTGAGTTGGGCATTGTGTTTCTCATAGCTGCAAACTACAACCCAACACTATTGAATATTTTATCAGTCACCGAAAGGAATTGACCCAGAATGATGCATCCAGAGAGGGTTAGAAGAAATCACGTTTGCTAAAAGCTGCTTGGAACCCTATTTATCTGCTGAATG